GTGCATGGTCCCATCCTACAGATGAGAAGGCTGAGGCCCAAGAGAGGCCACACAGCAAGAATGAGTTCTTTTATGTTTAGAATATCTTCTCTTATTTTTTATCTTTGCTCCTTCTAGTATGTTAGTTCCATGAAGGCAGGGTCTTGTTGGTTGTGTCCACTGCTTATATCTTCAGAGTCTAGAACAGTCCTGGCACATAGGGACAATCACTATATATTTGCTGAATGAATGAGAGTTCACCTCCTCTGAGCCAGGGCCTGTAGTGGACACTTGAGACAAAGAGGTAGCGGGGATAGCCCCCATCGTGGGAAGTCCTGCAGAACTCAGAGCCAGCTACTTGGGGTTGGCACGCAGGATTCCAGGGCTGCAACAGTCAGGCAATGACTGAGAACCTTGAAGGGTGTGGAGGAACACAGACTAGGGATCAGGAAATCCTGTTTCTGCCACTGACGTGAGGGGGCAGCCTCTGGTGGGTCCTTGGTCTCCTTGGTTGTTTAGGAGGCACTGGATTAGGTGGGGTCTGAGGTCCTTCAAATGGGAGGAGGGTGCCCTGGGCCCAGGCCCAACCTGAGCAAGGTCTGAAGGCTCATCAGATGAGCTGGTTGGAAGAGGGGTGGGCATGGGTGGGTGAGGACCTGTGTCTCATCCCTCAGGTCTGTGTACCTGCACAACAACAAGTTGGCGGATGCCGGGCTGCCGGACAACATGTTCAACGGCTCCAGCAATGTCGAGATCCTCATTCTGTCCAGCAACTTCCTGCGCCACGTGCCCAAGCACCTGCCACCTGCCCTCTATAAGCTGCACCTCAAGGTGGGAGGGAGAGCATGGGGAGGGGCGGCAAAAGAGCAGGGTCCTGCAGTGGGGGAAGAGCCCAGGCCCACACAGGCACTGTGGTGAGGCTGTGGGGCCTTGGGCACACGCCGGAGGGCACAGTGTCCACTGTGGAGAACCAGGCAGAAGCCTGGGTACCTGGCTGTCAATATCACATGCAGCATCCTCCAGGCCTGTGCCTCCTCGCATGGTTCCCCTAGACTCCCCTCCATATCTCATCCAGGGCTCCGCCCCTGCCCCTCAGCTGTCCCTCATGCTCCCCACCATCCCACCCCTCAGAACAACAAGCTGGAGAAGATCCCACCAGGTGCCTTCAGTGAGCTGAGCAATCTGCGTGAACTGTACCTGCAGAACAATTACCTGACTGACGAGGGTCTGGACAATGAAACCTTCTGGTGAGCCCCACCTGGGCCCTCCGTGTGAGCACGGTAACCGGGAAGCTGCTCCCTGGGCCCACCCTGCCGGGTCCTCTCACACATGCCTGTCACCTACCTGTCCCCCACCAGGTTCCTGGAGAAGGAACTTTGGGCTTGTGCCTTTGCTGACACGTCTGTCCCCAAGAACAAGTGATATGTCTAGAGAAGGCCTGCCCCACTTCCAGTGAGGCTGGCTTCTTGGTACAAAGTTGAAACTGGAGTATACTTGCTGAAGGCAAATATGTTTTCATTTTTTAGGGCCCAGGGTAGCCACAAAAAGCCTTAAATAATTGGTCTTCAAATTGACTTCTATGTGTCAAAAACCATGCTAGATTCTTCCTTCACCAACGTGTCACTGAATCAACCCAAGGACCGGCTCCAAAAGGACTGAGCTCCCCTAGTGAGCTAGTCACAGAGCTGCGTTGAGTTAGAGGCAGGTCCCTCACCATCTCCCTTGGGAGTAGGGGTGGGACCAAACACCGTGGGCCTCGGCCAACCATCCTAATTCCTTCCTGCCACAGGAAGCTGTCCAGCCTGGAGTACCTCGATCTGTCCAGCAACAACCTGTCGCGGGTCCCGGCAGGGCTGCCGCGCAGCCTCGTGCTCCTGCACCTGGAGAAGAACGCCATCCGGAGCGTGGACGCAGACGTGCTGACGCCCATCCGCAGCCTCGAGTACCTGCTGCTGCACAGCAACCAGCTGCACGCGCGCGGCATCCACCCGCGGGCCTTCCAGGGCCTTAAGCGGCTGCACACGGTGCACCTGTACAACAACGCTCTAGAGCGCGTGCCCAGCGGCCTGCCCCGGCGCGTGCGCACTCTCATGATCCTGCACAACCAGATCACCGGCATTGGCCGCGACGACTTTGCCACCACCTACTTCCTGGAGGAGCTCAACCTCAGCTACAACCGCATCACCAGCCCACAGGTGCACCGAGATGCCTTCCGCAAGCTGCGCCTGCTGCGCTCGCTGGACCTGTCCGGTAACCGGCTGCACACCTTGCCACCCGGGCTGCCGCGCAACGTGCACGTGCTGAAGGTCAAGCGCAATGAACTGGCAGCCCTGGCGCGCGGAGCGCTGGCCGGCATGGCCCAGCTGCGTGAGCTCTACCTCACCGGCAACCGGCTGCGCAGCCGCGCCCTGGGCCCCCGCTCCTGGGCCGACCTTGCCCACCTCCAGGTAAGGGGGAGGGGAGAGCGGCTGGGTCATGCCCGCGTGAGGTGCTACTGGCATGGCTGCCCCGAGCCCACCCATCTTC